GAGTACAATAACTTACGAATTTAACTTTAACTAATAAGGATATGCAGATCATTGGACATGTTTGCTGACCGATATTGTTATTATCGAACTTATTCCTTACTATCTTCCATTAATCAAACGGACATTCAAGTTCTCCTTTAAGCTCGATATTTCCATCAAGATCAATGACATTATTCTCGTTATTTCCATCAAGATCAATGACATTATTCTCGTTATTGGGCACCACAGGAGGTATTTACCCTATTTTTTTCTTTAGCTTGGGCCTTTATAATTTCTTTTTGAAGTACTTTCTTGTCCTGACTTGTAGTAATTGCATCTTTCGCGTTCAGTATATTCCGAAGCAGATTATCAAATGCTCAATCGATCTCCAGTTTTCTATTTGATTTTATTTTTTATTTTTATTGTTAATATCGCATTATGTGTTACTCTTTGTAAAAGTATAATTCTTTTTTTACTACAAAAATGTGGTACAACACTATACTAATACTAACTCAAACTACTCAAACTACCCCAATTCGACCCTAATAGTGGAAGACTACGATCAAGGCGTGGAAAGACTTGGTCCGAGTAACTAGGGTCAATTAGAACTCTAGACTACGTCATGAGTATTCTAATACAGAATCACAGGATTTGGTCACTAATTCCTATCGTAAAGACAGATTTTACTTATCGGGGATTAATAGAATCGAGCGAAAGATATTGAACGTAAAGTGAGGTGTCCCTTTATTCAAGATGCGTTAAACTCTTTATATACATGTTTGGTTACTATCAAATGCTTTCTGACATTGCTACTCTATCTAGTATATAGGGTTGATATGCTCTATCCACTCGATATATATATCGTATATATGCCATATATGGCATATATGGCTTCTCTGGTATATGGTATGTATGACCAAGACAATTTTATACAAACCGACCCAAGCCACCTTAGTGTCGATTTACCCTTTCACAACTTATATATCGCACCTCTATACGTATAACAATAATTGCTAATCGCGCAATATAAAATCAATTTTTATATAATAGTTTAAGGTTGATAGTTAGAGGTTAGAGTAGGGCATAGTATATAGTAAAATTTCGCAAGGAATATTTTATTAGAATATTAAAGGCTGTTTCATAAGCAAAATTTTAAAAAATTATCAATTTTTTTTTAAAAAAAAAAAAACAAAATATTTATTATTACACCTAATCTTCATGATATACAATTGAATTGAAATGCCTTGCATTGTGTGATGCCTAACTAAGTCCTTTTTTTTTTAATTTTTTTAATTTTTTATATTTTTTTTTATTTTTTAATCAACGAGCCTCATTTGCGATTTCGACCTTACAGTCATAATAGAAGCTCGTAGTATTTTCTTCTATATTCGTCAGCCTTTTCTTTATATTCGGCTGCTTCTTTTTTGTATTGATATGCTTCCTCGTGAGCTTCTTCCCACAAGGATGCATATTGATCTCTTTCTTCTTCGATTATTCTCTTTTCGGCCTCCACTTCTTTTTTTTCATCTTTTACTTGCTTGAGCTCAGAGTACAACATCATATTTGCATCCTCCATTCTATCCAACTCCGAGCTCAGCATCATATTTATTTCTTCAAGCCAGTTTATTCTGGCATCTTTTGCATAGCATTCTGCCCAATCTTAAATTCCGGCTTCTATTTTTTTCTCCTCCTGGTCCACTTGTTTGAGAGCTTCTTGGTGGCGACGGTACTTTCGAGATTTGGTCCAGTGTTTTCTTTTGCCTCTGTTTTTGGGCCACTAAAATTAAAATAAAAAAAAGTTTAGTAAAAAAAACTTTTGTAATACATTTGATATGTAATGAACAGAAAATAGGGACTATATACGACAAAAAAAAATAAAATAATTCTTTCTATTGGTGCAGGCAACATCGAAATATGAAAAATAATAATAAAAGTCTTTTTTCTGTTCAGCCTATTAAAGATGTTTACCTTCATACGAAAACTACAACTTTTTAAAAAAAGAGAAATATTAAATTAATAAAAATTTTAGAGACGTAACCAAACTTTAAAATTTGATAAACGGGTTCTTACGATGGTGGCAGGCATTGATTGGTGGTGGTAGCTCTGGCTTGATTAGCAGTAGTGGTTCTGGTGGTGGCTCTGGCTGGATTAGTGGTGGTGGTTCTGGTTTGATTAGCGGTGGTAGTTCTGGCTTAATTTGCGGTTGTGGTTCTGGCTTGATTAGCGGTGGTGAAGTGAACCCAACCTGGGTTCATTTGAATCTAGGTCAGGTTTAAGTGAACCCAATTCGGGTTCATTTGAACCCAGGTCAGGTTTAAGTGAACCCAATTCGTTCCGGCTTGATTAGCAGTGGTGGTAGCTGCGAAGTACATTTTTCTTGTTTGGTTATAGTTTTTTATTTGTTTGTTCAGGAAAGTTTTCAAGAGGTTGAAATATCAGATATGGTGTGGTGAAAAACGAAAGAAGTTAGGTATTTATTACTGATTGAAAAAAATTTTACACCAGTAATACCTACCAAATATAGAACCGATGTGTGTGAAAAGCACAGATAGGGATCCAAGTAAGGCCAATATTTTATTAGCTGGGTACACAAAAGTAAAACCGGTTATATTACTTGTAATGTAAATCATGCATGCTCTTTAAAAAAAAATGCTGTTAACTGTATTATAAAATATATATACCTATTTTTTTTGCAGGTGACCCGTTTGTTAAAGACGTGGGAAATATATAAATAGTTAAAATAGGTCCCATGAAATATGCCAAAATTGAAGTGACCATATTGTAATCACAGGGCTCAAAAAAATTGTGGTCTTCGATACAATCAAATCAAAAGAAGCGATGATCAATGTAGATCTACCAAATAAGGAAAATGAAAATGGGTTGATGATTTTCTGTGGTAAGAAAAGAGCGATAACCAATTACAGAATTAAAGAAATATATGAATAGTTAAAATAAGTCCCATGAAATATGTTAAAATTGAAGTGACCATATTGTAATCACAGGACTCGAAAAAATTGTGGTCTTCGATCCAATCAAATCAAAAAAAGCGATGATCAATGCAGATCTACCAAATAAAGAAAATGAAAATGGGTTAACCAGGGTTGATGATTTTCTGTGTATATTTACGCGAACTAGGTCGTAACTACATAAAAAATTATTTTTTATGTAAGTTACGACCTATTACGTAAATATGCCTGCACCTCTATGCAGGGCAGTGGGGCACTAATAAAAAGTATAGGGAGATCAAATTTATGTACAAGTTACTCTCGTTATAATGAACTCTCGATCTCAATATAGTGAATATAAAATATTTGTTATAATGAATTTATTA